TCAAGATATTCGAGGACAAGATACAATCTGCCGTCTTCATAAAATGCATCCAGTAGTGCTATTATATTTGGATGATGAAGTTCTCTGAGAATCTAGGTAGACAAAATAGAAAAGTTTAGAGACTTTGTAACAATTCTTGTAGAAGTACAAAGGGGTTGTGCCTTTATATGTTAATTGTATACGACTGCCTACCTGGAGTTCTCTTGATGACAAGCTTTCTTCATATGAGCAAAACTGCTGACGTATTCTCTTTATAGCAACCTTGCACCTTTTTCAGAACAGTTTAGTTCATTTTTCGTATCTTAACAAACCATTTGAAGTGTTTCTTGATCTTCTGCCAACACCACCGTACCATGGGAACCTTTTCCTAGCTTTTTTAGTATTTTATACTTGTTGCCACGCATGAAATGGAAATGAACATTGCGATAAAGAGTCCAGAGAAAAAAGTGTTTATATATTTTGGGCGCCAAAATTATTAACGATGAAGTACATTTTCCTTGAGTATTCTTAGTCCGAGCAACTGTGCATATCGCTGTCTATGTTCTTTTTCTTAAACAAATTTCCTGGAAAAGGAAAAGTTGATTGAAAATGATAAGAATTCCAGTATGAACTACTGTTCTTTCAAAGTTTTAGAGAGTTTCTGGGCAGACCCAAAAGTTCTAACTTTTGCCAGGTATTTGCAAGTCGTCACGGCCCGTTAGATTGTGCTGTAATTTGTTCAAGTTCCAGTGATCAAAGGTCGACTCTTTGTTTTTCAAACGTTTTCACTGTATTTCTAATGACAGAATCTGTTGAAAAGCATGCAACCAAAGAACATCCTGTTTATATTGTATGCATAGGACCTCTTTCGAATATTAGCATGTTTATCGAATTTTAAGTCCAAGTAGTAAATCCTCTCGCAAGCTGACAACATTGAAGGTACCCAAAAGCTCATGAAAATAGTTTTGATGGGAGGAAGCTTTGGTAAAGGAAATATTCAACCTACATCCGAATTTAATATCGCCTATGATCGATCCTATTGCAGCACATAGCAGCAATATTCCTATAACTATGCTGCCTTTGGATTTAACTCATAAAGTGATGGTTACACAGAACAAATTTTCGGAGAGATTTCGTCATTGTCCTCTATATTCTCTTTAATTGTACTAGGCTTACTAAAGTATTTCCAATCGACTTGTAGAGGTTCGTTGGCATCTATTTTCGCCTCGCATTTCCGACGTTTGTCTTGAAAGGCGGCTTTGGAATTTCATATCCTCCTCTTCACGATAGCTTATCTAAGAGATCCTAAAAAATTTGAAACAACCCATATGCGATAAGTTAGCAACAACTAGTTAACATATTCATGAATCGAATGAAACTTGAAAGTGTTGGTGTTGAAATAAGCCCTGGACTATGTAACGGACAAACTATTGGATATTTTCATTGGAGAAGGCCAGGCTGGGAAAGAAAGTGAACGCTACCATGAAGGTGGACGTCGACTGGTTTTGGAACATTATGCTTCAAGCATTCAAGGAAGCTTACATAAACAGTTTTTTGTGACTTTAATGTCTATACTATGCATTAATGGCCTATAGAATAAAGGTCTCTTTTTGATGACATTGATGACATTGCTTGTAACTACCAAGAAGTTGATAAGTAGGCAGACATTATAGTATTTTCATATTATTTGAGAATAAAAATAAGTATCGAAAAGAAAATCTTTTTATTTGGATACATGTCAAACAACGGCCAGCTTGATAACCTTCAACTCGTCTTCAACTTTAATACCAGCGAAAACTGGAGGATAGCAAGAAGTCTCTGACGTCTCTATTAGTGGATGCAACATGTTGTCCGGTTCCACATGAGTAAAGATGGTAGAAGAAACTCTCCACAGGCTTTCATGCCTATTCCTTTTCTCATTCACAATTCTATGAGAGTCCACATTGGTTGGCTTTAACAGACAGAGTAAACACTGCTTATGTCATGTGGTCAAGAAAAAAGAGGAGTTTTTTGAGATGAAAAGAAAAGTTCTTCGGGAACACGAAGAATCCAAAAAGCGAATGGTATGGCTGGATCTGTTCAGAGTGAGGCGCAATTTAAGAGCTGTATTTTTGGGTGTAATGTTGATGGTAATTCAAGAATTTTCTGGTATTAATGCAATCAGTTATTATATGGGAACTCTATTACATCGTAGTGGATTCTCTTCCTTGGATTCTGTCTATTGGAGTATGCTTCCTGGATTCTGTGGAATTTTAGGTACATTGTCCCCAGTTCTCTTCATGGATCATTTTGGTAGAAGAATAATGGATGATGATATTAGCTTCGATATCTGTTGTCATCGTTAGCTTTGCCCTTTGTGGATTTTCTTTTCTTATACCCACAGCCAATACTTGTGGTAGGACAGGACTATATATGCTTGGTGTCTGCATATACGAATTGTTCTGGAATCAATATTTAGGACCAGTTCTTTGGGAATTCTAGGAGAAGTCTCTCCAGCATATTTGAGAAATCATGGAATGGCAGTTGGAGACTTTGTGACATTTTTAGACAATTTTATAACAACTTATTGGTTTAGTAATGACAGAAATTGGAGTCTTTGCTGGTTTCTTTGGATGCATTACTTTTCTGCGTCTTCTATATTGTCTTTTATTGATGCCTGAAACAAAAGGTAAAACTTTAGAGCAACTGAATGAAGTATTTGAAATGCCTAGTAAAAAACTTGTTGCAAAGAATATTGCTATGATTGATTTACTACATTTGAGGTTTGGAAATGCTTTGGGTTGGTAGTCAGTTGTGTCCAACACTAGTGTCATTGAATTGTTCTGTACTGTCTTTTCTATCGATACAAAGTAACTGTAATATCCAAGGCATTCCGTTACTACCATCAATAATCCTCTATGACTCCTCTATGATTGTGGTAACTTTCCTCAGTGGAAACAAATTATGGATAGTTGGGGTCAAAAGTTATTAGACTCTGCGTTTACTATTTCGGAAATGTTAACCATAGGTTTAGGTTTGTCGTCTTCAACCTTACCAGAGTTTATTCGGTTTGGTACACACATATTATCGCCTAGTGGTTCTGACCTGAATATTTATGGAGATAAAGCAGGAACAGTTCTTGCAGGTTTTCACTCTGATATTAGTTTTCTTACTATTCATGGTCGCTCACGTTTTCTTGGACTTTATTTGTTTACTTCAGAAGGTGATCGTATACCATGTAAGATACCCAAAGGCTATTTACTAGTTCAAGCCGGTGCGCAACTTGACTATCTTACAGGAGGATACACTAAGAAAGGATATTATGAAGTTGTTGTTCCGGAGAATACTTGTAGAGTTGTCAAAGTATGGAAGGAAAAAAGTGATTCTTTATGGGCAGTTCATCCCGCGATGAATGTTCATGTGGAGCCGGATCGAGTTCTTCAACCTGTTGGTGAATTTGGACATGGTATGCAAGCAGACTGGTATCCACCTATTTATGCCGGAGAGCAAGTAGAAGAAGAACTAGAAAGTATTAAGTTGACACGTATTGCAAGTTGATGACAGATGGTTTGCTTGTAGAATTAAGAATTTTTTGATTCCGGTTCTCATGATATTGAGTGTAATCATGGGCTACTTGTTTTATTATGCAATACTCTCTTTGAGTGTACCGACTATTGAAAGAGTTTACAGACAAACGATGTATTTCAAGTTTCTTGCCTCAATTTTACTACATTCGCAGTTCTGATTTGTTTCTTTGTCATATGTAATATTGAGCTGAATGTTGAAGTTTTTTGCGTCTTTTAGGTAGAAGTTACAACCATTGATTTCATTGCGAACCTATCTGTTTTCTTAGACTAATATGTTGCTTTTCCATTAAAACAAGTAAACTAGGCACAAGTTATGACGGACGTAACTTTCTCTAGGTAGAATGTGACTTTCATTCTGCTGCCTTCTCAATCTGGATGGTAATCAGTTTCAAGTACTCTGATGAAGACGACACTTTTTGATATTAAATAGCATCAGAGTTCAAGTGATTTTCTACAAAAAGTATTCGTAGACAATACTAACCATTTATCTTTCAAAAAGTAGCTTCATTAAGTCAATACGCAACGTTTGTGCATCTACGGAAACTCATTTGATTTGTCGAATGAAGCATTGATGGACCTAAAAGAATTAATCAACAGAAGACTAGATTTGGGCAGGTATTTCTTCTCGAGACATTTCTTCTTTGCGATTCTCCCAGGCAAGACCTACGAAACCTGAAAAGACACAAAGCGCCCCTAACATATATATTGAAGAGAAGAGAGTTTTGCCCTGCAAAGTATCTACCATAGTTGACAACGGAATAGTTAATGATAATGCCATGGTGGCCAACACAGGACTGGTGAAGACGACTGCCAATGCCCATAAATAGTCTGATAATACAGTTCCTATCAAAGCATTCATAATCAAAAATAAAAAAGATTGGAAGGAAGGAAGAGCCAGTTTCTCAAAGCCCAAAATATTCCATAAAAATATGATGGGAAGCAAACATATCATCATAACAAGTCCCATCCAGCCTAAGGTCATTTTATCAATATCAAATATCGTCCGCATTCACAAACAACCTACCGAACAATTCCGAAATATCTAAAGGACTAGAATGCAGTAATCTTATTTGCAAAAATAAGACATAGAATGAATAAAACAGTGCTGAAAAAATGCTGAAAAAATCACCGATAAGGGTACGACTTCCACGCGAAGCATTATCTGACCACGTAACAAAGACAACTCCAACAAAGCTGACTTGAAAGTTATCACCATACTAAATAATTGATAACTACTTACTTAAGAAGAACGTATAAAAATTTAACCCAGGACAGTCTTTCTACACGAAAATATGCAGCAAGAAACAACGTGAATACACTGGAAAGAGTAGATAGGATACTATTGGAAGCAACAGAAGTTCGATCCAAAGCCAAATTAAAAACATAGTTGGCTGTTAGCCAAAGTAAACCAAACTGCAGAATATTCAAGGCATAGTTTTTCAACGTGGAACGACTTGATATTCCAAAGTCTTGCTGTGGTACTGTTGACGCTTCGTCACGAAAAGAATAAGTAGATGCTTCTGCTGTCTGGAAGATTTCCTCTTTTGAAATATTCACTACAGTTTCTTCCTCATAGCAACGGGTTCTATTGGTACCAGGAACCAGTTTAGTCTTGTGCTCACAGCAAAGCCAGTTGCAGAAAATTGGAATCAAGTAGAGGGAGAAGAAAGAGGTTGAAATATACGTAAGAAATAAAGGTTTATCGTAGTTTACTTTTCCGAAAATGTACTGAATAAGAAAACTCGAAGAAACCCATAATACTGCTACAAGTAGTAACAAAACGATTCCCAAAGCACTTCTTGTGAATGGCATATTGTACAGACTGTCTTTGAAATTTTGCCAGAGTTGATGTGATCGAACTTTGTTCCTCAAAAAGACCTTTTTTGAGATGAAAGTTTCATTTTTCGAACCCATCAACCTTTTATCAACGTTTGATACTTTTGAGCACATAGACGAGAGTGGGAATAACAGTTGTTTATGAGGCAGAATAATCCATTTTCAAGAAACTAACTCTTTGCACTACCTGATGTTTCCAACTATCGGAAGGTACGAGATTTTGCTCGTAGTGACATCTTTTCAAGTAACGCAGGAAGTTTGGATAAGTTTCCGTATTCCATGCAGATACCAGTGGACACGGAAAGTAGTACTTGAGGACTTTTTAGAGATATTTGAGTCGGTAACTTTCAAGTGACTAGGCGTGGTCAGATTGTGGAGTTTGTGCAACTGCATTGTGCTTAAGATCTTTATGATTCACTCGACTTGTTGAAGGGATTCTTAAGCCGGACCCTCTTCCTTTTGTATATCGTTTCACTAAAGTGGAAGTTTCTTTTCTTCGAAGCACAAAGAAATGTTCAATTTGGAAAATGAGGAAATATACTTGAGTTTTCAGAGTTAACTTGAGCCCAAGAACTATATAGGTAGGAAACTGGTTTATGTGAGGGAAAGCAAAATCGATAAAAGTTCTATTATAGTTTTAACCAAACCTAGTTAAAAAAATTGCCTGCATACGCACAATTATTAAATAACTCAGTTGAATTTATGCGACCATTAAAATAGCCACAGGAGAATTACCGATCACTCTTTCTCATTGAGCTAATTCTGTTGTTGGTTTGAGAAACGCGTTTTGGTCTATTGGCAATGATCCTTAACAAAGTACGAGAGATAACAATAAATATAAAATAGAACAAAGTAGAACAGCAACTCAGGATATTCCCAATGGTTTTTGTCTTTGCCTGAGAATAAAGATATTTTCTCCGGAAAAGTTCTCACTTTATCCAGACAAAAACAGATCTTTTGTAAGTCAAAAGTGACAACTGTGGCAAAAAATTTTGATTTCCCTTCATCAGTTTCTCTCCATATTCGCTAAACTTATAGAAGACAGGAAATTTTCGATACAGAATTATTTGCAAAAGTTAAAAGAAGTTTTCCTATTATCAATATCTGTTCCCGTCCTCAACAAAAGTTTTCAAACTAGACGCATAAAAAGCAGTTTCTCTATTCCTCAAACCTGAAAATGTGCCATTTCCACTCAATACCATTCTTTCATAAACTAGAAAGATCATGCACCACCTCTGCAACTTAGACCTCTATCAAACAATTTCTCATCAAAAGTCTTCAGCATTTCTACTTTCACAATTTCACCCGGGATAGAAAGTCTGCAATGTGATAGTAATACAGAAAAACTAAAAGGCTGAAATGGATCTCCACGCAAGCTTTGAATATAGGGAGATTCCTTTGAAAGAACAGTGTGAAACTGATTGCCTCTCTCCGAAGATGATGAAGTGCTCATCCCAACTTCACGGAACAATTTTCCACTCATCGTAGAATATATACGAACAACTTTCTCCTCACAAGAACCTGTTATCAAATAGTCCTTTCCATTCATATAATATGAACGAGTATAATTATAATTTGAACGAGTTTGAGGTATAGGAAAATGAGTATGCAGTCGTCCATCCGATACAGTATACTGATACACTTCATTATCAATTGCAGAACTTAACAGATAACTATCGTCAGGAGAAAAACAAACCATAACAGTACCCATGCGACTAGAACGCACAAATATAGGCATTTGTTTTCCATTTATAGGAGGTTCTCGAATGTCAAATAGCTTAATACTTCGATCGAAAGATGATGTTGCAAAAAGAAAGGGTGACAGATTCGAAAATCTTGTCACATTGATATGCTCTGAATGACACTCTTTCAGAGTTTGCACTTTTACACCGGTACGAATATCATAAACTCCTATGTCCGTAGAATAACCACTGGTAAGAAAGAACTGGCTGGTGCAATTTGCGTGCAACGAAGTTTGCAACTCGAAATTTTCAAAAGATCGAACACACTGAAAATCAACACCTTGAGAATCACGAGAAGAAATATCGAGTAATTGAATAGTACCGTGGTCACTTCCAATTAACAATTTTTCAGGATAATTCGGCAACCAACAAAGCGCTAAAATAGTTTCATTCTCTCGACTATTAATCCTTGAACATCCTAGCAAAAGCTGTTTCTCATGATTTAAAAGCAGAACTTCTCCATCTACTGTTCCAACTGCCATGAGTTCTGGAATCAAAGGATGATATTCAAACTGCCTTGCTCTGTAAGGCACATGGCAGATACGACTGCAGTGAACCGTAGTTCGTGAAGTTGTCAGGGCTGATAAGACGCATTTCTCAAAATGAGATGAATGTCCATTATAAAGTTGCTTCCTTTCATTCGGAAAACAAGACAACCTGTCTTTTTCATCCATACTAACAGGTAGATGATGATCCCCCGATACTTGTCTGCTTTTAAGACTTAACTGTCGCTTTGACAGAATATCTAAAATATTCAAGTTGTAACCGTCCTTGTAAGCAAGAATTTGAAAATGTTTGAGAAGAACCTTTTGGGCGTATCTTCGATCTTCTTCATCTATCTCCATTTCATTAATCACTTGCAAAAAGGGACAAAGAGCAATAAAGAATTCGCAGTGGGTGGCAATGTCGCAAATTGGTGTTTGTCGAAGCAATGAATCGTCTTCGGCTTCTGTATTCTGTATCAAAGTAAAATATCTTCTCCAATGAAAATAATTCGATGAAACATTATCCGAAGATCGACCAAAATTTGTGGAGGATGATTCTGTCAAGGAACATTCATTTCCTTCAAGATAATCTTCTCCTATGTCAGTTAAACGATGCTGTGACGAATGAAGTCTAGCAGATGAAGGCAAATTCTGATCACTCGGTATGCTTGCTGACGATACTGAGGGAGTTTCAAATGATTCTTCTGAAGTGAGAATTTGAAAATCAGTTCTGTCAGTAGATAAATCTGTCGCGACAGGACTACTTGCCGACTCTTCATGTGTACTGGCAAAATTGACGGAGTCTCTATCACGCAAATAAGAGCGTCTCGTAACTCGCTGGAAACCAAGGCTATCTACAAATCTTCTAGAGCTAAAGAACTGAGGATAACCAGGAATTCTGTCGTTTTCTGGTGGCAAATACACTTCAGAAGAGCTTTGTTGTCCATAAACCAATTGGTCCCTTGTTTGGGCTACACGACCACCAAAGGAGCTTGTTTCTAAAGCATTCAACAAAGAACAACTATCTGATTCACTTTCTAAAAGCTGCTTTTTCCTGTAGGGCAAACGCTGAAGAGAAAGAATACAAGGTTGCGTTCTACGTAACCATTCCAAAAGGCACCATAAACTGGAAAACCGAGTATTCCTCAAAGACAGAGCCTCTATTCTACCAATAACTTGCACCATACAACTACTCACTGAGAATATGGGACACATATCTAATATCAAGGCTTTCATTTCTGAGTTCTCTTGGGGCCAGCCCTTACAAGTAACTACCTGGTGTTGGGTAATTTTTACAGGACAATCATCTCCTTGACAAGGTGCTAAACCTATACTTGCGGAAACCTTATCGCGACAACCTAAATATTCGATAAAGGGATTATCTCGGAAGTCCACTGATTGGCTCAAGCCTAGGCTTCGAATGGTCACCAAAAGTTTCGTCGCACCACGAGAAGAGATGCGATTATGGCAAAAAGACCAGGTTTCTATGTACGAAAGCCTGACAAGCTCAGTGTTAACCATTACCGCGGCGAGTATGTCACAGTCGTCATCTGTTAATGGAGGTGAAATGGAAGACAAGTCGACAACTAAACCAGCTTTCCGCTGCAAGCTGTCACTTTTGTCAATTTGAGAGTCAACCTTACCAAGTCTGCTTTTTACAACTTTATGCTTTGCTCTGTTTTTAACTTCAGAAAAGGTGAGGGTTTCATAAATCTGCTCCATCAACAAACGATGCTTTGAACGTTTGGTTGGATTCCTCTGTTGGGAATGAGTACTTGTTAATTAATCATAGAAAATGCAACCCATTCCTTTCACAGATAAGCAAAATCACCGTTGTCAATTTATTTTGTTTCAGTTATTGCTGCATGAGTTTTTCGTTTGTTTGTGAAGTTTTGTTGACAAAAGTTTTGCTGGAAGATAATCAAGAATCTTATGAATTTCGCAGTAACTTTTCGGTACATTCACAAATGGAGGGTAATTGTTGGCATTGTTGTGACCAGAGAAAGTAGTATTCTAAGTAACTATTCCCTTATCTTCTCTTACGAGAGAAGCACAAATATTGACTCGGAGATGTTTGAAACATTGACGATAGCAGCAGATATTGTTTTGTTTATGATTCTAAGTAGTTTCGTCTTGCAGGCGTTTTCATTTAGATAAAACTGTACAAGAAATGAGAGGAAATATCCTTGTCTTTAAAATTTAAATGAACAATAGAGATCATGTCTTTGAAGTGTGTCCAAAGTTTTCGAGGAAGAGTTTCTCATTTTTTTTGATAATCATTCCCTAATGTTTTGTATCATTTCCTCTTGGAATAAAAATTTTTAGTTAGGAAGAACAGACATTTATTGCTAAATGTAAAAAGTGTGTTTATGGAACTTTAGGAGAACACGAATCGTATCTTGAATGACTGCTGTAACTAACGAGTTTATAGTCATTTTTATTGTAAAGCATCTATTGCAATGTTTCAATTTATGTTACTGTAATTTAGAAGCATTCCACAGCTGTGTTAAAAATGCATATTTATGTTTCCTGAGATAATTCCTTCAAACTATCTGAGGAATGTTACTACGTAATGATGAATATAGATTTTCAGAGATTCAATAAGAGGCTCTTTCTTTATGACTTCATTCTTGACAAATATAACTTTATTAAATAAATAAACATGCGGCATTGATAACATTTTGAAAATCAACAAGATGGAAGAATAAATGCTCCCCGAAAACTTTCAGAATTAACTACTTAATGCAAACGATAATCACGTGCTGTTGTTGCAACAAGCAAAATGAAACCTACATAAAACCAGAGAATAAAAGTACAGATACTTTAGAATTCTTGATGCAAAATGAAGATCTTTCATGCTTTCTTTGATTAGAGCCCATTTGTATCGTAACTTTGAACATATATCTTGAAAGATTACATTAGAACATGGCCCTATGATAGCTTGCAGTTGATCTTCAAAGAAAATTTTCAAAGACTGCTATTATAACGGGACAACAAGAAAAACAGATAGACTACTGAAAGTGTAGGAATGGACAAGGGTTCTAGAGTCGCGTAGATTTTCAAGATATCATAAAAAATTGCTCGGTGACGAAATAGTCCATTCAAGAATGCTCTATTTGACACCCTTGTTCATCACCAACTTGACATAAGTATTATGTTTCCTCTTCATCAATGTCATTTTCTAGTTCATCTAAATTTCCTCTCATAATCAAATCTGTTATCACAGACAAGACATAGGATTCAAGGAGTTTTCTGGGGAGTTCGATTGATTCTTGCTCATTCTATGGCTTATAAGAATGGGGTATGTGATCCAAATCACAAAGTCGTGGTTTGAAGAATAAATTTGCTCAAGTTTGATATAGTTTTTGACAGTGTCTTATAAAACAGCCCCCGATTTATAACAACTTTTGAAAATTATTTGTTTTAGAAAATTTCTCAGATATTAAAACAAGATATTCCTAA